GATATGTACAACAACAACAGAAGACCCTAAAACTGAATATGACCCAAGAACAAAAACTATAAAAATTATCTATATTTAATACCATTATTGGTGGTAGAGTTAGTATCATTACCTCGAGCGTTTTGTCTACAGGATGAGACAGACCGAATGAATAACTGATGGAGAACTGAGATTTTTTTATTGTAGTAAAATATACATAATGTAAAATTTACCATTTTAGCACCATTCAGTGACACTAAGTACATTCACATTATTGTACCCCAGTGACCACCATCCATCTCCAGAATGTTCTTCATCACCAACATAAACTCTGCATCCATTAAATACAAACACCACATCACCCCCCGCCCTACTGACCAGCCACTGAGAACCATTATTCTACTTCCTGCCCCTATGAATGTGACTATTCCAGGTACCTCATATACATGGGATTGTGCAACATTTGTCCTTTGGTGTCTGCGTTAGGGACTTCCCTATAGCTCAGAAGGTAAAGAATCTGCCTGCGATGCAGGAGACCCAGGTTCCATTCCTGAGTCAGGAAGATCCCCTGGAGAAGGAAATAGCAATCCACTCCAGTATTCTTGCTGGAGAATCCCAAGGACAGAGGAGCCTGGTGGGCTACAGTCCATGGGATCACAAAGAGTCAGACATGATTAAGTGATTTACACACTATGTCACTTAGCCTAATGTCTTCACGATTCACCCATGTTGCAGAATATGTCAGAATTTCTCTCCCTTTTAAGGCTGAATGAAACACACACACACACACACACACACACCACGTTTTGTTTATCTGTGCATCTGTCCATTCACAATTGGATTGCTTCTACCTTTTAGCTATTGTAAATAATGCTGCTATGAACACTGCTTTACAAATATCTGATTGAGTTCCTCCTTTTAGTTGTTCTGTTTTATACCCAGAGGTGGAATTGCTGGATCATATGGTAATTCTGTTTAATTTCTTGATAAATACTGTTTTCTATTTTCCACAGCACCTGTACCATTTTACACTCCTATCAATGATGTACGAAGAATCCAATTTCTCCACATTCTCAGCCACACTCGTAGTTTTATTTTTCTGCTAATAGCCATCCTAATGAGTATGAAGTGGTATTTCATTGTAAGTTTCAGTTGCATTTTCCTGATAGCTATTAGGTTGAGCATCTTTTCATGTGCTTATTAGTCATTTTTTATCTTCTTTGAAGAAATGTCTATTTAAGTTCATTGCCCATTTTTAAAACTGGGTTGTTTGGGGCTTCCCTGGTGGCTCAGTGGTAAAGGAATCTGCCTGCTACTGCAGGAAACACTGGGTCAATTCCTGATCCGGGAGGACCCCACAAGCCTTGGAGCAACTAGGCCCATGTGACACAATTACTGAGCCTGTGCTCTACAATGAGAAGCCTGCAACGTGAATCCTGTGCACTGCAACCGCAGAGTAGCCCCCGCTCCACAGCCAAAAATAAATAAAATTATAAAAAAATAATAATTTGTTTGGTTTTTTTGGTTATTGTTTTTTTTTTTTTCCCATTGATCGCCCAGTTTAGTGGCCACAGACTTGAAACAATATTAAACAGCCTTCTCCAGCTCCATGGGGGGTGGGTAAGTTGACATGTGCCCACCCCTCTGAGGACATCACCCACCAGAGATGCAACCAAGGGTGGGGATCCCTTGGTCTGAATCCAAGGCCACCTGTGATCCACCCAAAGCCCAGACCCCAGCTTCCTCCTGAAATTTGTTTTGAGAGATCCTTTCCGGTGGTCAGGTTCCACTCTCCCCTCCCTGCACTCCACCCCTCCTTCCCTGCTCCCCCCAGCTACAGAGAGCACCCTGCTGGAGCACTGAATGAGCCCCAGAACCCCTCTGTGTGCCAGGGGACTGGGGTGTGTGGGCAGGGGACTGACCAAGCTGCCAGGGGGATTGTGTGGAGGGACTGACCAGTGCTGCTGTGGGGCTGGCCTATGTGTTGCAGGCTGAGGCCCTTGTTCATGTCTAGAAGTCCATTCTTGGGCCAGCAGCCTATGGCGAAGCTGTAAGCCTTTTTCAGGTTAATCCATTGCTTGAAGTAATCTGCTACTGGCAAGCCCAAGTACTGGCACTGTCCTGGGAGCATGACTTTTAAGTCCCAGTCTCCACAGGTGACAAAAATTGACTTGACATTTGGATCTAAGAGGCCTTCCTTTGCCATCCACTCATTGACCCTCTCCAGCACTTGCTGCAGGCTTGGCTGTCCATCCACCATGGCTTGAATAATCCCGGTGAGCTTTTAGGGAAGAAATTTTCATTTTAAGAACGCTGAGTTCCTCTAGGTGGGTTTCTGTAGTTCATCAAGTCATTATTAGGTGGTATTTTAAGGAAGTGTAAGGACACAGCCACTCTATTTCATATTCCAGAAACTGTTTTTATATTAATCTGTTTTTTAATTGGATAACAGCTGCTGCCTACAGACTTCCCATGGTCTCTGTACAGAAGGGAGTAAGCTGTGGATGGACTATGGGCTGGACATACATGTGAAAGGTAGACTCAGTTTCCACGGTCTGGCCATTTAGCTTCAGGATGGGGAACTCGATGATTTCCTCCACGCACTTGGTTATTGAGTTTTAAGAGTTATTTATATATTGTGGCCAATGATGGAACAATCTGAACTTCAGTAATAATTGTAATGGAATAAAGCACCTCATGAGTGCTCAGTTGTGTCTGACTCTTTGCCTGTCCCATGGACCATAACCTGCCAGGTTTCTCTGTCCGTGAAATTTTCCAGGCAAGAATACCGGAGTGGGTTGCCATTTCCTCCTCCAGGAGATCTTCCCGATGCAGGGATCAAACTCACATTTCCTGCATTGGCAGGCAGATTCTTTGCCACTGCAACATGTGGGAATCCCTAAAACACATGAAAAACGTTTAATTCCATGCATTCATTAAGATATTTTTTAAATGCTTATTAATCAACTTTGGAGGATGTTAAAGAACCAAGGCATTATTTTGAAAACTGATAAACAGAAATTCTACACCCTAATAATCACATTTAGATATATACCCAAGAAAAATTCTGGATATATGTAACATGAGACATTTACAGGAATGTTCTGAACAACATTGTTTATAATAGCAATAAACTGGAAACCCAAATGGCCACCCTCAGGAGGAATAAATGAAAAACTGATATGTTTGCAGAATAGTACATAGTAGTAAAAAATTGAATGAACCATGAAACATGAATATTAGTAATGTGTTGAGTGAAAAAGGTAAGTACCAAAGGACAACAAATACCATACTTTCTTACAGTTCAAAACTAAGCAAAAACAAACATCATTAGGTAGGCATGTATATATGAGTACTTTTTTCTTAAAATATTTTCTATTTAGAAAAATCAAAGGAATAACAAACACAGAATTGTGAATGATGGCACCCTAGACACTGGGATAAGGAGGGGATGAACAGGTGAGGAATCGGGGGGGGGGGGGTAGATGTAAGTCCTGATGCTTTTCCATCCAGCCTCTCGAGTTTTGCAGTGGGTGCACTGGAACTCGTATTTATCAGAAAGTTACACATATCTAAATTTTAAAAGGAGGACCATGCTAGCATCAGTGATGATTGTGTGTCATTAATCAAAGATTACAATTAATCCACTCTGTCTTCCCGACGACTGCCTCCTCAGAAAAAGTAAGGTGCCTTTTCTAATCCGGGGCAGCCACATGAGAAACCGAAATGAGTGGGAGGGGTGGTAACTGTTTTCACTTTTCTCTTCCTGTTTTTTTTGAGCCTGGGAAAGTAAGTCAGAATTTCCAATCTTTTCCAATTCCCACACGATTCCCTAATTTAGAACGAACTTCGAGAAAATAAAAAGCCTTCCTGCATCTGGGGAAGACTGCCGCCAGCCGTGGAGCATCCTCACTGTGGGATGAAGAATCCTCCCGGGGGCGGTGTGTGCTCCAGCCCCACCCCCAACCCGCTCGTACTTGCTTGTACGGGGCTCAGCCTTGGGGGACGATATCCTCGGCGAGGAGTCACAGGACGGTTAATTAGTGGAAATGCTTTGGGAAACTCTTGGACCCCAGCAGGAAGCCCTGGGAGGCGGGAGGGTAAAGGAGTTCAAACGGAACAGAGGTGTCAGGCTGCAGAGACAAGCTCCAGAGATTTACCCCTGGGTGACGACCCCTGTCCACCCACTGCCCCCGAATGCTGGCAGTGTGGATGATCTTAAACCGACAAGCCTGCGGGTACTGCGCGAGCGGACGCGGCGCGGAGCCTCTGATCACGCTAACGTGCAGCAGGCTCCGCGAAGACCACGATCCGAGTACTGCCAGGTGGAGAGGTCCAGGCAATTCTCTTTTTCCTCGTTGCATCCAGACTGGGGTGGACGGGAAATTAAAAAGTGCTTTATGCGTCAACAACCATCAAGAAGCACTTTTATTGACTAGGAAACCATGAAGAGTTGAGCCACCTGGCCTTTGCGGGCGAAGCAGGCCGGAGCCTTTCCCTACGCGGGGCGGGCGGTCGAAGCCCGGCAGCCCTAGCTTGGCTCCAGACCGGCTCGGGGTGACATCACCAAACTCCTCCGATCGGCGGGAGGTGGCCCCCGAAATCCCCTAAAAACATAGTGAGTAATCGCAGGCCCCGCCCTCCAGGCGGGGCCCAGACTCGGGAGCGAGCCGAGCTGCCCCGCCAGCCCCGGGAGCGGCCTCCAGGCGAGCTGCCTGTCGGTTACCCGCGCGGCGCACACTAGCTCCGGGTCGCCGGCAGCGGCGGCGCAAGCAGCCTATCCACCCTGCACGCGGCCTGTCCATCCTCCGCGCGGCGCGCGTTCGCCTCTGAATCTCTCCCGGTGGCGGCGGCGCTCGCGACGAGGGAGACGAAGACGTAGCGCGCAGGCGCGGTCGGATTCCCGGCAGTGACGCGGCGGCGGGCGCGCGCGGCGCATTTCCGCCTCTGGCGAATGGCTCGACAGTAGCGCGCGCCGCGGGCCCAGCTGCGACCCCGGCCCCGCCCCCGGGACCCCGGCCATGGACGGTGAGGGGGCCCCCTGACCCCGCGCGGTGGCGGCGCTGGGGCCGCGGTGACCGCGGCAGGAGGCCCCTCGCCGCCTTCCGACCCTTCGTAGGCCGATGGGCGCTGCGCAGGGAGCGGCCGGCCGGATGGTGGCGCGGGGTGGGGCGGGCATCGGGGGTCTGACTCAGTTTCCCCCTGGTTGTGGGGTGTGGGGTGTTGGGGGGAGCGTTGACTCAGTTTCCCCCCGGGACCTGGGAGCGGGGGCGTGGGCAGTCCCAACTTAGTTTTCTTGTTAGGGGAGAATGTATCTGACTCAGTTTCCTCTCTGGATCGCGGGGTGGTGGGGGTGCCCTCCCTTAGTGTAACTTAATAGAAAAGACCGTGACTCAGTTTCTCCTGGTGGAGGGAGGCCACCATCCCTGGTTTTCCTCAGGAAAAGGGTGCTTCTGGCTCCCTTACCCACGCCCCTAGTTTCCCTGAAGTTTCCAGGTAGCAGGCCCTGAGTGTCCGAGAGAAGGAGCCTGGCTCCCTCTCCTCATCGCGGGGAAGCAGGCCTTGCCTGGTGAGGACAGGATGTGGGCTCCTGTTGACCCTTGTCTCCCTCTCCTTTCAGACCTCTTCCCCCTCATCTTCCCCGCAGGTAAGTGGACCATCCTTTCTCAGTGGGTCGGGAGGAGCTCCCCAGGGTCAGGGGCGATGGGGTCAGCCCGCCTGTCCTCTGCAGAGCCGGCGCAGGCCTCCGGCCCCTATGTGGAGATCATCGAGCAGCCCAAGCAGCGGGGCATGCGCTTCCGCTACAAGTGCGAGGGCCGCTCAGCCGGCAGCATCCCTGGCGAGAGGAGCACGGACACCACCAAGACCCACCCCACCATCAAGGTCAGCAGAGCCCCAGAGTGGGGGACGCAGAGTCAGAGGGCTGGGACTTGCTCCCAGCCCCTCCCCCCAACCCCATCCCGAAATCTGTGTCTGGGAGTTCGGTCTGGAATTCCCGCCCTCTAGGGTGCTCTCTGTTCTTTGGACAGATCAATGGCTACACGGGGCCAGGGACAGTCCGCATCTCCCTGGTCACCAAGGACCCCCCTCACCGGCCTCACCCCCACGAGCTTGTGGGGAAAGACTGCCGGGATGGCTTCTATGAGGCTGAGCTCTGCCCCGACCGCTGCATCCACAGGTGAGCTCCCTAGGGGTGGCAGGGGGTGGTAGAAGGTGGTGATGACATGGGAATAGGAGAAGCAGGCAGTTATATTGCTGTTACAGTGTTAATCCTTTCTGGACAGAGGGCAGAATTCCTCACTGCTTGCTCCCTCCACAGCTTTGCAAGCTGATTCTTTTATTTTGAAATTGTATTATCTCCTTTCTCCAGTGGATAGGAGGAGCTCCATGTAAGCTCTATGGCAAAGGTGTGGGTCCCTAATCACCTCTGAACCCCTAACCCCTGTGGCTGGAGTGTCACATCTCTTGTAGTCAGAATGAAAGCCATTGAACCAACGGTCTCCCCTGAAGCTTATGTACTGGTTGACAGAGGCAGACCATAAATTAATGTACAAATAACTGAACAAGATACTGTTAGAAAGTCATTTCAGTGATGAAAATGAAGCAGTAATAGGTTGGAAGAATAGCCTGAGTTGGGGGGGCGAAGGAGCTGGTCCCATTCCTTTGGACTGGGAGGTCAGAAAGGCCTCTTGAAAGTAAGACCTAAATGTGAGAAAGCAGAGAAGCACGGAAGGAACATGCCCAGCAGAATGAACAGGTGCAAAAAGCTTTGAAGTGCGAATGAGTGTCATGCCTTTGGAGAGGGGAAAAGAACGCCCTGGGGCAGAGGGTAGGGAGCTGGCAGGGACTGTGGCTGGGGCCAGGCGGCAGGGCACAGGGCCTTGTCAGCCAAAGTAAGGAGTGGCTTTCATCATGGCACAGTTGGGGGGGGCAGCATTCAGTGGGGTTAAGAACGGAGTGATCACCTGGTGAGTGGGTGGGGATAAGGGGCAGAGTGGGCAAGGCAGGAGGGCCCAAGCTTTGCTGGAGACAGTGGAGCTTATGCCTGGGGGGCCTCAGCTTTCAGAACCTGGGGATCCAGTGTGTAAAGAAGCGGGACCTGGAGCAAGCCATCAGCCAGCGCATCCAGACCAACAACAACCCCTTCCAAGGTGAGAGCGGCGACGGCAGAGGCCTGGACCTGCCCGGAGCACCTCCAGCTGCTGTACCCTTTTGAGGCCACCTTCACCTCACATGTCCCTCACCGGCCAAGATGCAGTGCCCATTCAGTACATACTCCCGTTCAGTACATTTTACCATTGGAGAAACAGACCGAGAGTGGGGACACAGGGGACATGACATCCAGGGTCACAGGTGGAGTCAGTGATGGGTCTAGAACCTTCCCACTGCCCTCCTCTAGGACTCCTGCTATTTCACACACCTTCCAACAGCCCTCCCAGCCGAGAGCTACCCGCACACCCCGCTCCCGCCCCAGCTCCATCCCCTGTCCCGGCCCCATCCCCGGCCCCATCCCCGGCCCAGGCTCTCCTGACCATCGGTTTTTCTGACAGTTCCCATAGAAGAGCAGCGCGGGGACTATGACCTGAATGCTGTCCGGCTCTGCTTCCAGGTGACAGTGCGGGACCCAGCAGGCAGGCCCCTCCGCCTGGTGCCTGTCCTCTCTCATCCCATCTTTGACAACCGTGAGTGGTCAGGGAGCCACAGGAAGGGGAGAGGGTTGGCCTGTGAGGAGGAAGGGAGAGGTGGGGAGGGGTGACCTGCAAGAGGTGCTCTGACTTCGTCCAGTCACCCAGCGTATCCGTCATCCCTTCTGTGCCCAGCGCTGTACTGATCAAAAAGACGAATCAGAGGAGACCCAGATCTGCCCTCAAGGTGTAGCGTCCAGGCTGGCAGGGAGTCGGATGGGAGACAGGCATTTCCAGCCCATGATGAGAGGGTGGTGTGCCCAGAACTGTACCGATGACGCCAGGAAATGAACTTCCAGGAACGAGATAATGTTAGAAACTAAGAATTCAATGAGGAAAGCTCACAGGAAGTTTACAGATGGATTGGGCTGACATTGGTCAACTGCAGTTTTAAAGTAGCCAGTAGGATACATGAAAATAAAAAGGCTTTGGAGCCCCAAGGCCAGAAAACCAGGATGAACCAGTGTGTAGAGGGGTGGGGGACTCAGGAGGGAAGGATTCATTGCCAAAGCGGGTATGAATGGGTCTTGAATACTGCCTGGGTCAAGGGGAGAAACAGCAGTTGTGCTCACTTTGGTTCTCGTAGGACTGTATGCAGAGATGTTTACCTTTTGTGTGTGGTTATGTTCTTCAGGCCTAGAGCAGAGCTGGCCACAGAGTAGGTGCCAGCAGATAAAGAGTTGCTGAATTGGTTGGTGTGAGGAGCCAATGGGAATGGTTGAACCTTGGCTGCAGAGGTGTAGTCAGCACACTCTGGACAACCTTGACCCTGGGCTGGGCAGGAGCCTTCTTTTCCTGCAGGTCAGCCCGGGAGACCGCCGGTGGTTCAGGGCTTCCTCCCTTATTCCTACACCCTCAGGCGCCCCCAACACCGCCGAGCTCAAGATCTGCCGGGTGAATCGGAACTCTGGGAGCTGCCTTGGTGGGGACGAGATCTTCCTGCTATGTGACAAGGTGCAGAAAGGTACACAGCCGGAAGGAGGGCTGGACCCGGGAGCAGGAGGCGAGGGGCAAGGCTGAGCAGGCGCGCTAAGTATTAGGGAGCTGGCTTAAGCACTGTCCCCCACTCCTTGGGGACAGCAGGGCCATGCATCTCGAGAGGCGAGTATCGGCAACTACAGGGGGCGGCGGGCTGGGGGAGCTGAGCACCCACGCGGCCACCGTGTCTCCTGCAGAGGACATCGAGGTGTATTTCACGGGACCAGGCTGGGAGGCCCGAGGCTCCTTTTCACAAGCTGACGTGCACAGGCAAGTGGCCATTGTGTTCCGGACGCCGCCCTACGCAGACCCCAGCCTGCAGGCCCCTGTGCGCGTCTCCATGCAGCTGCGGCGGCCTTCCGATCGGGAGCTCAGCGAGCCCATGGAATTCCAGTACTTGCCAGACACAGGTACCCAGCTGGGCAGGGGAGCAGCAGGGCTCTGGGCTCCAGCCAGTGGGAGTGAGGCCGGGCTGGATGCCACAGCTGTGGGTGAAGGTCAGAAGCTGGGGTTGGGCAGAGATTTCCATAGTAATCAGACTCTTCTTCTCACCTCATTTAATAATGAAACCCAAGACTTACTGAGCTCTTGTGACATATGTGACCCTATTCCAGGCACATCAGTGAATTACCTGATTTTATTCTCTCATGAACCTCTTGAGGTGGGAGATAGCATCTAACTTGCTTGAGGTCACATAGCTAGTGAGTTATAGACCCAGACCTCATTTGAACCCAGGCCGTCTGGCTCCAGGGACCTGTTGCCTCACTGTATCTGTACTTATCACCACCACACAGCAATGGTGTGGTCAGGGCTTTCAGGCATCTGCTCAAATAGGAACAGCCAAAGTGATCCTTTATCTGAAGCCTGTCATCCAGCCTGAAAGTGTGTCCTGCCCTGGGAACTGTCTAACAGAGTCTGGAAAACAAGGCCTGAAATGGCCATTAGGTCATTCCACCAGATGAGGACTGAGTGTCCACTCGGCACCAGGCTCTGCGCCAGGTATTCTTAATATAAAGATGAATAAGACGTGTTCCCTGCCCTTTGGGAGCTCGGTTACATGAGGAAGACACACATGTAAAACAGAGCCTTACGTCACAGAATGACGCGCGCAACAGCGAGGTGTGTGCAGAATACTGGGGGAACTGGAACCGGCTGCGTGGAGGAGGTAGCGTTTAGGTTGGAGAAAGACCCAGAAGCGCATTCTCTAGGCGGGTGGAGCGGAAGGGCCGGGAGAGGGCATAGCACGTTTGGGGACAGCTTTGTGGCAGGAGTTCACGTCGGGCGGTGAGCAGGCCCTGGCAGAAGGGCCTTGAAGGTTGGACTTGCATTCATCCAGGGTCACATCCTAAGGCCTCGGGAGCCACCAAAAGTTTCTGAACAGAGAAGTGACGTGAGCAGGTCTGGAAGCAGCGTGCAGAGGATCTGAGAGGGGGGAACATGAGGTGGGGAGGTTTTGGAAGATGTTCCAGTCGTTTCGGGAGAGAAGGTGCTGTGTGAACCTCACAGACGGAAGGCACGAGACAGTCTCCCCCACCGCTGGCCTCCTCCGGGACCCTGAGCCCCACAGGCCCTTTGTGTCCTCCTGGGAACCTGTGCTCTAGCTGTTGCCTCTGCTCGGAATGCTTGGCCCCTGGATCTTCACATGGTGGGCTCACACCAGTGCTTCCCTGGACCCCTAAACTAGATTCCTTGACCTTACTTCTGGTGCTGTTCCATCACCCTGGGTCTCGTCCTGAGAGCTCCTATCACTTGTGTCCACGCCCCGCTGTCACTTGGATGTTACAGCTTTGGGGAACAGGAACCTTGTCTGCTTACGCAGGGCCATACTTCCAGTGGCTCAAATAGAGCCTGGCACGCAAGTGCATGGTGAATGTGTGTCTAGAGGGTGAATGGTGGGGAGTGAGAAAGAGGAAGCTGCTGAGGATGTGTCCAAGGTTTGGGAACAGGGCACAGAGGTAGGGCGGGAACACCGAGGGCGAAAAAGCCAGGATCAGGTGTTTGAGGTGAGACGGTGACGTTGGCTTTGGGCTCTTGACATCGAATGCTTTGGGCTTATCCAAGTGCTGCAGTAGTTAGAGAGTTCAGAGAGCTCCAGACTGAACTTGGAAACCATCAGATAGAAGATTAAGAGTCTGTTGCAGTCTTAAGCCAGCCTGTCATACCTGGGCTGCCCCAGAGAGCAGAGCGCGCAGCACCAGGCCTGGTCAGGGCTGGATGGGGAGCAGGGACATCAGCCGTGCAGGTGACAGAAGCCTGAGGTGGGACCCTGTGATGGCTGCTGGCCCCTGATTTGGGGGCACCCATGTGGTCTTTGGAGGGCAGATTCAGCTAACGGAGGTCTTCTCAAAAAAGTCATGCCATTCTTATAATTGTGGAATGTCACAGAGTTGTGCAGCTCTACTCATTGGCTGAGGTTTGGAGAAACGGTCTTAGGAAAGTTTGTCCTCTCGCCTATCCCCCGAGGGTCCTTTGGGAGCTTTGGGGGTCTACTGGTGCAAGGACACACTTCCCTCCCTTGCTTTCCCAGACGATCGTCACCGGATTGAGGAGAAGCGCAAAAGGACATACGAGACCTTCAAGAGCATCATGAAAAAGAGCCCTTTCAATGGTAAGAGGGGGCAGTGGGAGAATCAGAGAGCAGTGGGCAGAGAGGGGACCCTGGACACCAAGAACTGACCCAGCTTTCACCCCACAGGACCCACCGACCCCCGGCCTCCGACCCGGCGCATTGCTGTGCCTAACCGCGGCTCAGCCTCCATCCCCAAGCCAGGTGAGGATTTCCTTAAGGTCATTACACCGGAACTGTAGGCTCAAATCTGTTCTGCCCGTGGTTTTGACACCTCTTGGAGGGAGTCGAGCAGTCAGTCTCACCAGCAGGTGTTTGAAGCCTGCTCTCTGTTGGGCTCCTGTTTCTCAGTGTCTGAGCTTTGGTGGCCTAAAATCAGAACCAGCTGGGAAGCGGTGAAGATGCCGATTCCCGGGCCCCTTACAGACCTGGGGGATCAGGCTTGGGAGGTGTGTCCCGGGAACCAGCACCCTCCTGGGGATGAGAACCCCTGTGGTATTGGTTAAACCCACACTGGATGCCTTGAGATGCAGAAGTTCCAAAAATGCAGTCTCTGCTCTCAGCTTTCCATTGAAGTGGGGCAACCAAAAAGTCACCTCTGAAGTAGCAAAACAGCACACTGTAATGTATGTGCTGCTGTGTGTCTCAGAGAAGAAGGAAGAGGCACTGCTCCCTGCCGGCTGCGCGGGTACAAGGTTGTGCCCGTTCGGAAAGCATCCCTTCCTCTAAAGGCTGTGAGAGCTTTGTGGGCTGGGGTAGACAGGCGGGGCTCCACGGATGTGAGCCCGGAACTGGGCCCTACAGGGGAGGCCGACTGGGTAAGAGGAGGGTGCGCCACGGGGAAGGGCTGAGCCTCAGCACCTGAGGCAGCAGCTGGGGCAGAGGATGGGGGCCGCCTCTGAGGCTTTCTGTGACCCCTGCCTCTCTTTCTCTTCTCCAGCTCCCCAGCCCTATTCCTTTACGCCATCTCTCAGCACCATCAACTTTGAGGAGTTTTCCCCCATGGTCTTTCCTTCTGGGCAGATCCCAAGCCAGACCTCGGCCTTGGCACCAGCCCCCAACCCGGTCCTGACCCAGACCCCAGTCCTGGCCCCAGCCCCAGGCATGGCATCAACCCCGGCCCCGGCCCCAGCCCCAGGCATGGCATCAACACTGGCCCAGGCCCTAGCCCCAGGCCTGGCTCAGGCTGTGACCCCGCCTGCCCCCAAGACCAACCAGACTGGGGAAGGGACACTGACAGAGGCCCTGCTGCAGCTGCAGTTTGATACCGATGAAGACCTGGGGGCTCTGCTTGGCAACAACACTGACCCTGCCGTGTTCACAGACCTGGCATCTGTCGACAACTCTGAGTTTCAGCAGTTGCTGAACCAGGGTGTACCCATGGGCCCCCACACAGCTGAGCCCATGCTGATGGAGTACCCTGAGGCTATAACTCGCCTGGTGACAGGGTCCCAGAGGCCCCCTGACCCAGCTCCCACTCCCCTGGGGCCCCCTGGGCTCACCAATGGCCTCCTCTCAGGGGATGAAGACTTCTCCTCCATCGCAGACGTGGACTTCTCAGCCCTCCTGAGTCAGATCAGCTCCTAAAGGGGTGACACTGCCCTGCCCAGAGCAGTGGGTTAGCAAGGGACTGAAGCCCTCCCAAAGCACGCACTTACGGATTCTGGGAGGGTGTGCTCCAGTTGCCCTCAGCTTCTTTGGGTGATGTCTTCCTGGGGAGGGGGGGTGCATTTTATTCTTTTATTGGCAGTATCTCTCTCTCTCTCTTTTTGGAGGTGCTTAAGCAGAAGCATTAACTTCTCTGGAAAGGGGAGAGCTGGGAAGACTCAGACTCTTCCATCCCTTCTCCTGATGTTTGGCTCCAGGCTCTACAGAAAATTCTGGGGTCCCCCAACGCCACCCTCCAGCTTATAGTACTCTCCTAGAGAGATGGGTAGGCTGGAGCTATGGCCTTGGAGGCCACAAAGCCTTATTACAAGTGTCTTCCTCAAATTGTAGATTCATTTATACCTTGAGGCAAAATAATACCCCTGTTACCTGCCCCTTTCTGGTGCTGGCATTCTTTGTGCCTAACTACCAGCCTTTGAGGGCCTGGCCTTCCCAGCCTGCAGAGGTCTCTGCCAGCTCTTCTCTTGCTGGGCTGTGGTTGAAGGGGACTGGTGGGGCAGTATTGGCCCTCTCCAAGACCCAGGGAGGTTCTCTTTGAGACTGCTCTGTTCCTCCTTTTCTCAAGTGCCTTAATAGTAGGGCAAGCTGTTCAGAGTCAGGGGGAGAGCAGGCTGGCTGCTCTCCAGTCAGGAGGCTCAGTTTTTACTGAAGAATCAAAGCATTTATAGACTATTGCTTTTTCTACTCTGAACTAATAAATTTGTTGCCATGCTGGCTAGAGATTTGTCTTCTTGGAGCACACTCTTTGCTGGTCATTTCAAGCTGGATGTTGGTGATACAGAGTTGGAGGCACACATTTGCTGGAGGAATACATTGCCACTGGGGAGCTTGCAGCCCACAGACATCCGTGGAAACTCCTAGCTAGCCACCAGCCAGTGGATGAAAGCAGGCGGCTGTGGGGGGCGAGGGGAAGTCCCAGCCTAGCGAGAGCCCGGTTGGACCCAGGAGTTGTGGGGATGGAGCATTTTCAGGAAGGGCTTCACGGAGGCCACGCTAGCTTCAGGTCTATACATCAGAAGAGGGGCTAGCCAGCATTTATAGGTAAGCGGGGTAAGAAACGATGTTGGAAAGATTCAATGGGCCAGTCTGTAAAAGATAAAGAACGCTCGGCTAAGAGGTTTGGATTTCATCTCTTAAGTGGTTGGGGAGGGAGGTGTCGCATCAGTTGGGGAAAGGGAGGTGCCAGGTGAAGGTCTATCCTTTCATACCCTGCCCTGGGAGGACCAAGGAAATCTTATATCCGAAGCCGCCTCCTCTCCACCACCGCGCACGGCCCAGGAGTCCTGAACAAAAACCAAGCCACGGCCCAAGGGCTAGAGCCGGACATACTTCCGTTTTGTCTCAACGCACGCGCAATAAAGCAGAGTCAGCCACCGGCCCTAGTGAGCGAGGGCCTGCCTTCCCGAGTGCGCATGCGCACAGATAACTTTCTACAACTGGGCGGCCAGGCGGTGCGCTTCGGCAAAAGCCCGTCCTGAGGCCGATGGCATCGCAGGGTTGCGGGAGGGTGAAGGCAGGAGCACCCAGGTATTAGTGAGATGTTGCTGCACATCTAGCGAGTCCCCTGGGAACACAGGAGGCCCAGAGTGCAGGCTCCGATGGCGTCTACGAGAAAAGATGCCAGCTGGCGGCGGAATGCTGGGGAACCGGAAAGCATCTAGCGACTCGTGCTGCGCTGCGGCGTTTCTGTCGGGGGGGCGGGGTCTGAAGCAGGTGGGCCACCCTGGGGCCTGGCCAAGCGGTACTTATGCCCGAGGGGCGGGACCCAAGAGCCGTGGCCGGGTCAGGACCTGAGCGGACGAACCCGCCGGCAGTGCGTGGGGAGGTGAGGTTTACAGCGGCTGCGCTGCGGGCGGGGCCAGGGCGAGCGCCGAGAAGGACCTGGTGGGGTGGGAAGACTCCTCACAGGAGGAAACTGATGGCCCAAACTGCCCGCAATGTCGCCAGCCTGAGGCCCGGAGGGAATTAGTGAGTTCGGGTCCTCCACCTCAGGCTGTGCCTCGCTCTTCTTGGCTTCCCCAGTGTCCTGAAGTGACCTCCCGTGCTCCCCCGAAAGCCCTCTCCTGGCCCTTCCCACACTCCCTGAGTGACGTCACCATGCCCATGGCTCACCAGTCCCAAATCTCAGACTTCTCTCTCCTGTGCGCCCGCCCTCTGGACATCTCACCCTGACATCCCTCAGGTCTTTCAAAATCTCGAGGACCCTAGCATCCCCGGCCTGCCCTTTCCTCTCAGTCATGGCCTTACCAGCCTCCAGGGCTCCAGTCAGAAACCTGGCCACCTCCGTGGATTATGCACCTTCTCCCCTAGCAACTCGAGTTCACTTCCTCACTTGGTCCTGGCAAATGTGCCCTGTTCTCCCCATCCCCACGGCTATCCCCTAGTTTAAGCTACCACCTTGCCTCCTGGGGCTGCAACTACAGCTGCCTCCCTGGCCTTACCTTCCCTGTAGGGCTCTGACACCCAAATCTCATCACCCTCCCTTTGAACATCTACCCACCCATCACCAGACCCGTTTCCTGCAGACTCACAGTCAGAGAGTAACCAGAGCCGTCCACCCTGCCTGTGAGGGTTCCTCACTACAGTCCACCAGTGAGAGCTGGGACCCAGGGCTGGGAAACCCAGTGCTCCCATTCACAGCCCTTTCTGATTCAGCTCCAGCCTCCTTGACCCTGGGTCCCTGCAAAAGCCAATCCAGTCCAGTAGGCCCCCAACCGGTTCTACCCAGGATACCCTTGACTTCTCTATCTCATGAACAGGACAGAGAACCTCTGAAATTCACATTACCTCCTCCTGATCCCCTGACCCTGTTTTTCAGAGCCTGGCTCATCCTGCCAAAGCCTAAGTCGGTGGCCTGGGTCTCAGCAGGGTTGGACAAGGCATGTGATGCTGGGCAAGTCAGTGCCCTGTCTGAGCCTCAGATCCCGAAAACAAAGAGTTTAGACACAATCTAAGTTCGGACCTGCTGATGCCACTCATGGGAAAGAGCCCAGCCTGGTGAGGAACAAGGAGTCAGAGGCTGGTGAGGAGGAAAGTGAGTCAGAGACATGGAAACATCTCCCCGGCAGCTAAGGCAGAGAAGCTCCTACCTCTGGAACTGGGCCCTGCAAGATCTGGCCAGGTGTCTGAGGAGTGCCAGGCTTGGGGGCTCAGTGTCTGTAGAGAGGAGAGGACCTCCTGTACTGGGGCAGGGCCTTTAAAGGGGGGCATGGTCAGCACCTTCCCTCCTGTGCCCAGCAGGTCCGCTCTCTGCCTCTGATCTCAGCCTCTCCGGTTTGGCTCCAGGGCAAGGGCCTGGCTCCTACAGTTAAGCAGAATCGGTACAGAGTGTGGCGACTTGCTTCCCAACAGACCAAATAAATGTTTGTGGGACAGAAGACAAGGAATGGCCTAGCCTCAGAGAAGCCCCGGTTTGTGGCAGCCCAGCTCTGAACAGCGTCCCCAGGGCTTCCCTAACCAGTCCCGGGAGCTTGGTCGGAGCCTATGGGAGCAAAACCCCTTCCCCCATCAGGTCATGAACACCTGTGTAGACACAAAGAGCAGTGGCTTCTTTATTCCCTGAAGTCCCCTTTTCTCCACAGAATATTTACAAAGAAGGGTGGGGTGAGGGTAACTGTGCCACCGAATGGTGGGCCGGGGAGTGGGGCAGTGCTAAGATGCGCCTCGCGCAGGGAGAGTTCCTGAGGAGGGCCCAGTTTGTGCGGCCCAGAGGCCCTGAGCGGCCGGGAGCTTCCAGCAAATCGGCAGCCAGGCTGAGGCCTGCCTGCGGCTCAGGCCCGGTCGGTGGCGGGGGAGCCCAGCTGCTTGGAGGCCAAGAGCAGGCGGGTGGCTGCACTCTCCGACTCGGCCTGCAGCCGCCGGTTGTTGTGCCGCAGGCTCCGCACCTCCTCCTCCAGGGCCGCCCTGTCTGCCTTCTCCTGAGGGGGTGGGGGGTGAGGGGAGGCAGGAGTCAGGGTGGCTGGGCCCCAGCGCTGCTCCCGGGGCAGCCCTGTGACTCCCCGCGACCCGCGGCCACCTTATCACCTTCTGCAGGTCATTCTGCAGCTTCCTGAGCATGGACTCCAGGTGAGAGACCTTCTCGGACAGGCTCCCGGGTTCTGGCCTGAGGACAAGGAAGTCGGGACTCAGGGGGACCAGGGCTGGGGGCAGCACCACGGGCTGGTACCCAGACCCACCCGTGTGAGAGGGGCCCAACCCCTGTCTTCTGACTCAGGTGTCCAGAGCTTCCCTCTCATGCATGGGTGTGAACACTGGGCATGGGCTGAGGGGTAGGTCGGTGGGAGGCTTACTCAGCATCAGACTTCGGAGTTCCCTTGGTGTCTCCGCTCTCGGGGATGGGCTGTCCTGTGGGGACAGAGGGACCGTCCGGGCAGGTAAAGCGAGAGAGCCCCACTCTGGCTCCCGCACCCCTGATAACCACCCCCTACCCCCGGAGCACCGTGGTGGCCTCACCCTCCCGGGAGAGCGACTCCAGGATGGTGTTGCAAGTGGAGGCAATCTCTGAGATGGACTGCCACTCGTCTTCCAGGGTCTCGCTGCCCGCCTCGGACATGACTGTGGGCAGCGGGGGTGGGTTCAGCCAGGGAAGCGCAGGCCAGGCCCCCTCCCACTCCGCTCCTAGAACCCACCCCACCCTAGCTCCAGACTCACTTTTGCTGATAGAGTTCCTCAGAGACAAGGTTCGTGGCAAAAAGGAGGCCCTCAGCTCCGGGGCCGGTTCGTCCTTGTCCTCAAAGCCACCAGGGCTGCCTGGCCCGTCCTGGGGTGGGGGGCGGAAGTGGGTATAGATGGGGGATGGCCACCATGACCACTGTGCCCACCCCGGCTTGTGGGGCTCCAGAACCTTGCTTCTGCTCACCTGAGCGGACGGTGCCTCCCTGCCCGCACTGGGTGCTGCCGGCTTGGCCGTGGTGGCGAGG